TAGGGGTAAGGTCTGCGTACGCACACCCTCCTCAGACCCTACTCTTGTGGGATTTAACTGGGTTGTTGTTGTATTGTTATTACTCCCTCTATCCTAAAATTAACTTCTCATTTGACTTTTCACAGTGTCCAATGCATCACTTTGACTATTAATATCTCTATTTTTATATAAATATATATTATAAAATAATATATTTCAAAACTATGTTTCAAAATGAATCTATTGATAAGAAATTTATATGAAAATTCAATGTATTTTTCTGTTAAATGCGGTCAAAGTTTAAAAAGTTTGACTGCAAAAGTCAATTTGATAAGTTAATTTTAGGACGGTTGGAGTCCTATAATTTGCATGTTGGACAATAAGGTCCTATGCCTCTTTAAAAATATGGATTCTATCTTTTGAAGTCTAATAACAGAAGAATCTTTGATTTGTTGTTTATCAGCCACGTATACTTATGGCAATGGCTCGAGATGGGTTGCTTCCGCCGTTCTTTTCAGATGTTAACAAAAGTACTCAAGTTCCTATCAAGAGCACCTTAGTGACGGGTTTGTTTGCTGGAACCTTGGCATTTGTCATGGATGTTGACCAGTTGTCTGGAATGGTATGTATATTAAGGGTGCTCTTGAAACTCAAAAAAGAGGGATGAAGAAAACTTGGGGAAAATAAAAGATAGGCTCAAACTCAATAACTTGTTGCGAACAGACCCATTTTGTACATTTATTTCTATAATTAAACACTACAAAATCTAACTATAAGCAAAAAATTAGAAAGATTAATTATATTTCATTTTCCATTGTACAGCGGAACACTAGATAATTTCTTTGACAGCTTTTTTCCATTACCTAGACTTTTATGCAATCCAATTGTACCATAAGATTAACATGAACTTCATGAATATCCATTCCTTTTCTGGATCTACACATGCTGAGTTTAATGTGCAGGTAAGTGTTGGTACACTTCTTGCGTTTACAATGGTTGCAATATCAGTTCTTGTACTCCGTTATGTTCCACCAGATGAGGTTCCCCTTCCACCATCTTTTCAAGACGCAATAGATTCAGTAAACTTGCACTATACTAGTGTGGATGTTGATGTTAAGAGTTCCAAAAAAGATACCGTAACCTCAGATGTAGCCCTTCCACTGTTACTGAAGGCACCTTTTGGGCATCCCTTTCTAGAGAAAGCCGCATCACAACTTAGCAGTAAGTTCTGATTTACAAAAATTGGCATTCTCAATTTGAGTAAAATTTTGTATCCTTGTACTACCGCCTTCCAGAAAAGGGGTTTTTGTTTCACAATGGTTCAAAATATTAACATTTGTAAGGTAACTATGAGAAATCATCAATTCTAGTTAGATTCTTAGTGTAATTTGCTGGTTTAACTACTAAATTTAACATGCTTAACTTGTTTGGGGAGCTTTTTTAGAAGCAAATTAAATATAATGAAAGGAAGCCTCTTATGTTGGAATTTGCTGTAATTCTTTTTTAAATTAATACTCCCTCTGCCCCAAAATGAAGGTTACACTTATTTTTTTGGATGTCCAAAATGAATATGTGGCTCTTATATTTTCTCTCTTCTAAATATATTGCAACCACACCATTTACTTTTAACCAAACACCGTTCACTTTTCAACACTTTTCTTAAACTCCGTGAAGTCAAAATGTAACTTCATTTTGGTATGGAGTGAGTTTAAATTAATACCCCCTGTGTGTAATATTAATTGATGAATATGTAATACGTAGTATTTGATTTGTGGGAGCTGTTGCAGTTTTGCTAAATGAAAGAAGGAAAATTGCTGGATGGACCATCATGTTCACGTGCCTTGGGGTGCTTATACTTACCTCTGCTGCTTCAACAGTTGGCATGCCAAAGTGCGTTTTCACCCTTGCTTTCCTAATAAAGATAAAATCATTCCGTAACTCAACATGCTGTGTGTATGTGTATCTGCCAATGCAGATATTCATACTTTGATATTCGACTCTTAGCATGTTTACAGTGATAACTAAACACAAAGGTCTCATTACAAAGATAACCGCTGCTTCTGTCTGTGGCTGTATGGCAATATGACCTTGTTTACATAGCATTATTTCTTGATCATTTGGAAAAAGCAAATGTTACATTTTTTTCCTATGAAACAATAAAAGTGAAATTCCATGTATGATTTGTCTCTACTTTCGAGTAGGGGTAAGGTCTACCTACACTCACCTTCCCCAAACCCTACTTTATGAGTCATTTGGGGATATTCATAAAAAGGCAAGGGATACTTTTGTAAAGAATTTGGTCAAACTGGAGAAACGGAAAGACGGGCTCAAAGCATATAGCTCAGAGAAACACATCATCAAAATTGTTTTTGAGTGCAATTGACTCGATTACAATAGAAACTTATTAGCAGTTTTGACTAACGTATAAGCACATGGAAAAACACCCATTTTATGTGGGATTTCACTGGGTTTTTTTGTTTATGATGATTCGACTATATTATTAATTAAATTTGTGCCCAGTTCTGTGAGGTTTACATTTTCTGGAATTGGAGGCTTTCTAGTACTCTCAGGTCTGGTTGTGCTAATGTCCATAGACCAAGATGTTGCCCGACACACTTTTGGACATTCAGGAGGTATGTAGTTCTTTATTTTGATCAATACAACACTAGTTTCTTAACAATTGACTGCATCAATTTACATAATGCTAAATCAGTTTATGTTCTTTGTTCAGGTTTTGTTTGCCCTTTTGTGCCGCTTCTCCCAATTCTCTCGATTCTCATCAATGTATACTTGTTGATAAATCTTGGGTAAGTTTGCAAAATTCTGAGCCACTTTTATATGCCCCAATATCGTTGAGGATCTGTATGGAACTTTGAAAATGCCAAGAAAATGTAGTGGAACATGAAAAATGGATAAAAACACAATAAATCATTTTTTCAATATTTGTTCGATCTTTTTTATACCCCGTCTCGAAATGATTTACCTCTTTACTATTACGGTCTCTCGATAACTTTTGTTTGTTAGCATATTTTCATTGTTCATTTGATAATATAAAATATATTCTTGTCACCTCTTGTTTTATAAAACTTTGGGTGTAGTTTTTAAATATATAATTTTTATTTTTTATTTCAATACTAATTTGTAAATATAATCATTTTAAAAGTCACGGGATTTTGCGCGTTGATCTAAATGTGTAATTCATTTTGGGACGAAGGGAGTATGTATTTATTATATCACGACTAAGAAATCTATTTATATGCAAAAGCTGGAAAAAAGAATGCAATCGATATTTGATTTTCCTTCGTAGTTTCTAACGTGAACCCAAACATTAAAAAACCGTATGTTTTTTTCTTTCTTTCCCCATCATTTTCCGAAGTTCCAAGCATTGACTAATTCTTTTTGCTAATGGATTCCACTTTCTTTGTGCATTTGCAGAGCTGCGACTTGGGCTCGTGTATCTATATGGCTGTTAATAGGTGTATCTATATACATTTTCTATGGTAGGAACCATAGTAGCCTGCAAGATGCTGTTTATGTGCCTGCAGGGCATGTTGATGAAATTTACCAGAGTTCGCGCCGAACTCTGGCGTAGTTCTCCGTGTCTGTTTGGCAAGTGAAAAAATCCATGTTCTCACTTGTGATTGCCAATGTTGATCAAATAAATGATGTTCCAAGTCCATTGGAGAAAGCTTAGTTCCACAACTGAATTGTTGGTTGTTACTCCGTATTTAACTTTTAAAGTGGAGAAAAGCCTTATGCCTGATAAGTTCATTGCAGTGGACATGGGAAAATGTAAATATGTTGTAAGATTATAGATTTATGTATTGGTTTTCAGAGCTTGGGTTGTAATTCTCTTAACTCAATAAGCAATGTATTCTTTATGAGTAGCATTTGACATATCTATGTGATCTGTTGTGAATTTATGTATTGTTTTTTTGTTGTTGAAAAGCCTAAAGCTGTAGACCTAAAACTAACCCGGTTAACCTATCTAGAACCAGCTATTTCGGTATGGTCTTGGTCGGGTTTGGTTTATAGGTCCAGTTTGAAACATAAACCGCCCTACTTCTGCTCTGGTGTGTCTTCAATACTAAAAGCTGCTATGAGGTGATCAAATGAAAGGACTCCCTTCTACATTAGTGAATCATCTTCTGCACTTGTGATATATCTAATGGTCATCCTTTGAATATTATTCCTATACCTGAGGAAGGTAAAGAAATTTTGATTTTAATATCAAAGTGTTATGATCCTTTTTATAGAATGATATAGTTATATCACCTTTAAATATGTACTCCCTCTGTCCCATTTTATAACGCCTGTTTTGGTTTACGATGTTTGACTAAAATTATTTCCAAATTATTTTATATGACAAATGGTATATAGTTAAAAAATAAAAATTACATACTAAAATATTACATCAAAAGATCTACTCAACTAGTAATGACAGTAGTACTTTATTTTATCAAATTGCTAATGAAAATAGAGAAAGAAATTGAATGAAGTTTGATCTTGTGAATAGTGAACATGCATTATAATTTGGGACGGAGGGACTAAATTTTTAAATATGTAAGTTTGAACAAAAATATGTAAATTTTATACGTAGTATTTTTATTTCCACCTTAATTTGCAAACAATCCAAATTGAAAATAATTTCAATCAAACTTCACAATTCAAAACACAAGGTTTAATTTGGGACGAAGAAAGTAATATTCTTTGGGTGTTTTCGTTTGTGATTACACTCCAAATTAATCTCTAGAAGACACACAAGGCTGAACAGACAAGTTAAAGGGGACAAGTGAGAAGGAGAAATACATGGCCACGACTTGCGTTGTTCGATACGCTCGACACCTTTCAAAGACAATAGATAGGTGGGTCGGCCTTAGGTTAGCCCGGTAGCTTGAACTCTTGATTTTCAAAGCCTTTCGTCGCAATGCGTGCATCTATTCATGGCCTATATATCTCTCCCCTTGCTTGTGGGGAGAGATTGTTAATATTTAATGGATTTTAATTACAATTTTCCTCTACAATCTGTATCTTTATTTGGACTTCACAATTCATCAAAATCTATGATTAATATAGACATTAATGATCAACATATTATTAGATACCATAAAAACTAAAAGGTCAAATTTAAACCATGTGAGATAATTTGTACTTTGTATGTTATATAAATAAATTTCACACTATTTTTATTGTTACAAAACAAACTTCTCATTCAATATCCCGTTTAAGGAATGAAATGGGCAGTTTCCATAATTTTCTTTTTTGTGCATAAATCTCATTTAAACAATTTTATTTTTCTAAATTTATGGAGAATTTGATTTAAAATTTCAATTTAAAAGGAAAGGAGAATGACATAAGACCATGCGGTGCGCCTAGCGGGAAGGGAAGGGGAACACCCCCCATGCAGGAAAGGGAAAGGTGAGTTCCCTTCCTCGTTTTCCCGTTTGTTGCGATTGCCTTCCAGCTGTGTTTTTCAACCGTTGTGAACGGCCATTTGCTTTTTCAAAATCCATTTATAATTTTAAAAAAATATCCTTATTTAAACACCTCTCTCAGTCACCATTCCCCCCTCCTTCAATATCTTCTCCATTCTTCATCTTCATTTTAAACACCTATCGTCACAATATTGTCTCCTTCATCTGATACGATTTCGACTTCTTCTTCTTTGGATGAAGCCGAAACTTTTTCTACAAATGTGATCATGGAGGCGGCAAAAACTTTATCCGAATATGCAGAAATTGGAAATACTTCAGTGCCATAAAAAGAAGACATTGTTGTAACAAGATCAAATACGTATAAAAATATAAATTTTACGTACGCTTGATTTTTTTAATCCTAATTAAATTTTATTTTTTCATATTTTTTGCTATAAATTATGGTATGCACACTGTAGGTGGTCACGACCGACTTGTGGTCGATTACCTTATAGAAAATCTGGTCTACACTGACAACCAGTTTAGGCTACGCTTTTGTATGAGTCCCCATCTTTTCCTCCGTATTGTCCATGATTTGGCACATGCAGATCTATTTTTAAGCTACATGTGGATGGGAGATAGATATAGGATTTTACTGCCTTTCAAAAGCACACCACGGCACTTCGACTAATGGATTATGGCACGTCCACGAACGCGCTTGATGATTATCTTAGGATGTTCGAGAGAAGGGGTCGTGAATGCATGTACAAGTTTGCGAAATGGGTCATCAAGCTATATAGCAAACAATAGTTACGGAGATTAACTCAAAAAGACGTTCAAAAAATTTTCGTTGGTCATGAAGCGAGACATGGGTTTCCCGGACATGCTTGGCACTATTGATTGTATGCACTGGACGTGGCGTAATTGCCCTAACGCATGTCGAAGTTAATTCACACGAAGGGATCACGGACATCCCACAATCATCCTAGAAGTTGTTGCCTCGCAAGATCTTTGGATTGACATGCTTTCTTTGGTGTTCCAGGTTCGTACAACGGCCTAAACGTTATCAGGCAATTTGACATTTTCAACAAAATCATTCAGGATACCGGAACTGATACTTCCTTTGTAACGCCCCGAAACATACCCTAGAATTATTATTAAATAATTATTCGATTAAACAAATTTGTTTTGATTATTATTGGGCTTTGGGCTGATATGAAATATTTTTTTTATATCCAATATCAAAATCTGGATAAGTCTAATTGAGATAAATCCAATATGTGGACTATTTGTGTGGATCTTGATTGGGAACCTGAGTACAGACCCAAATTAAGAATAAATGAAGAAATTGTTTATAATGTGAATTTTGAAATGATTTATTGAAATAAATCATGGGAATAAATAATATGAATTAAATGTAAGAACCTTTTTGAGTAAAGGTCAATTAAATCAATTTTGACTCTGTCAAAGTCAACCACCCAAAAATATGATGTCGAAAAAAGTATTACAAATAAATATAAAAATTATATCGTTAGATAGAGTTTAACTGCCCGATCGCAACGGTGCAAACGGAAGTCAATTCGGAGAAAGTTGGACCAAAAAGTGTACCCCGACTGGAACCAAAATTGGTCCCAATCAGGGACACTGTGCGAACGGCGCCTCCTTCCCCACTACGCCGATCGCAGAGTCATAGTTGTTTTCTTCTTCTCTCCTTCTCATTATATAAGAAAACCCAACCTTCTCATTTCTTCACCATTCTTCTTCATTTTTCTTCCATTGTGTTCTTGAGAGTGTAAGGAATATTGTGGTGCTGCCAATTTGGTGTGAGGTCGCCGGAGTTGAGAATAATCATCGCCGGAAGTTTCGCCGGAAAATATCCAAAACCTTCGTTAAGCTTCGAGGTAAGCCCCTAGATATATCTAAGGACTAGAATGTTCATATAGGTCGTTTCTACGTTCATAAATGGTCATTTGGTTGAGTTTTGTGTTTGACATGCTTGAAGAACTAAGAATCATAAACCATGAAATTGATGTTAAAATTATGAATTAATGATGCTAAAATGATCCATGAACCTTGGAGAACATTTTTATATACTTTAATTGAAGTTTGGTGAGTAAAAGTGACATTTCCGCAAGTTGGCTCGAGGTAGAAGACGATGGATAATCGATTATCAACTTGAAAATCGATTATTCATCGTTCTGCAGATTTTTGTAACAAAGCTGAGCAACAGTCGATTATCAGAATGTGATAATCGATTGTCAGCCCTCTCTGAAGTTTGATAATCGATTATCAGAGTGTGATAATCGATTATCAGCCCATTCTGAACATCAGACAGTAGATTATCAGAAGTGACAGTAGACTGTCTCCCTACACTATTGAAGAAAATGAAGCTAATAGCTAATAACTGAATTTCCTATCATATGTTAATCAATTTTTATTTAGAAAACATGATTTTTGAGTTATGGAATCCTATATTTTGATACCAAACCATTATGATTAATAAAAGGATGATTTCTTGGAATAAAAATGGTGTTTTAACAACTAAAAGGGATCTTATGTGATGCATGACGGTAAGCTAGGGTGTTAACACTCGATGCTAGGCCGCTGATTGTTATTAGATTGTTCATTTGATGAATATTATGGATTATTAAATGATTGTTGAACTAAGAATATGAATTAATGAATAATGTTGTTAAGGATATCTAGAAGAACTCTAAAGATATACCCACTTGTATAATGATGATGATTATTAAGGATATCTAGAAGAACTCTAAGATATACCTCCTTGACCAATTCATATTTCGGGGTTAAAACGTACGTACAGGATCCAGACCGGATATCACCCACCCGACAAATCATTGTTCGGTTGGTACGTAATCCACATGACTCATAGGGTGGATTATCGATTCTTGTGTTCTGCATTAAACTATTTATAGTTTAAGGGCCTGGTTAGAAATGTTGCCTTAGACTAGGAATAGCTAAGAGCTTGTTATAAAATGATTTGGACTTAGATTAAGAATAATTTAAGAGCATGGTTGAGATATTGAATATCGAATGACTTGGAATAAAATATTGAGAATATCATGAATGTTTGAATCATATATTGTGTGCATGATATCAAATGGTTGATTATGAATTAAGATTCGATTTATTTGGATGTTCGACACTTTAGATATGCTTACTCAGCTTCATCGCTGAGCGTGTAATATGTTTTATTTGCTACACGCAGGTAGACAGAATGAGTGAATGGCATGTTCTTGGCAGCGGAAGGGGCGAGACAGTCGTGGTGGATTTATTGAGAAAATAAATGATTCTGTTATTATGAATAATGTTTAAAAATCGCTTCCGCGTTAAACACTCCGTATTTACTACAATTATGTTTGGAATTTCATTTATGATGAATAAAGTTATTTGAAATGTTTTAAATTATACGATTACCAAGTTAATACTTTAGTTCGGAAGGGGTTGTAAACCTGGACGGATTAGGGTGTTACATCCTTCATATTTAATGATGGAAGAAAAACATGGATATTATCTTCCTGATGGTATATATCTTGAGTATTCAGCTATTGTAAAAACAATACTGCATCCTCGGGATGAGAAAAGATTTTTTTTTACCAAATACCAAGAATCGGCAAGCAAAGATACTAAATGACTATTTGGAGTTCTAAAGCAGAGATGACTTATTATCCAAAGCCTGGTTTGTGTGTGGACACCAAAAAAATAAGACATGTTATGTATGCTTGTCTTATACGGAGTACTACATAACATGATCTTCGAAGATAAAGGGCACGCGATATGCGAGTAGGATCCGAATGACGTTCTTGAGAACGTCGAAGTGGTGGGTGCTACAAAACACGACTTGAACTTGTTGACATTACGCAACTAGCATACACACTTCCATCTATGAGCCTATTTAAAAAACATTTATGAAATTTTGCTCCACCATATATATATGATGATTAGGTTTCTAAGTTTTTTTAATATAAATTATGTTTATGTTTTTTTCGAAGTTTTTTAATTGTGTAACAATATTTTTATTGTGTCTAAATTATTTAATGTATTAGTTGAAGTATTACTTTTAATTAAATTTTAATGTATCACTTTAAATTATTAATGAAAGGTTCAATTATTTTAAGTTTAAGAAAATAATAGTTGAAGTATTTTTTTATTTTTATGTTTTTAGTTTTATTATTTAAATTAAAATACGGAGTAAATATTAAAAAATAACATTAAAAATGAAAGGGAAAGGAGAAGACATTTCCCCAAAAGAAAAAGAGAAAGATAAAGTTGATGTGGGGCTATGTTGGCTAGGGTGAGCAAGTACCAAACCGATCTCAAATTTCCCGAAAAATCTGAGATTAGCTTACCAAAAAATATCGAACTGATAATGTACTGAAAAAGAACTGTACCGTACTGAACCGAATGGTCGGTCCGGTATTTGGGATCGGTACGAGGTAACTTCCCATACAGAAAAATCCCGAACCGAGCATATATACAAATATGTTATAAAAATAATAATGTTTTATATTTCTTCATAAAATAATGAATTGATTTTGAAAAGTTGGTTAAAGTGTAGATGAATTACAAATAATGTAACACCCTAATCCGTCCAGGTCTGCAGCCCCTTTCGGACTAAAGTATTAACTTGGTAATCGTATAATTTAAAACATTTCAAATAACTTTATTCATCATAAATAAAATTTCATACATAACTGTAGAAAATACGGAGTGTTTAATAATATGCGGAAGCGACTTTTAAACATGTCTTATAACAAACATAATTATTTATTCTATCAATAAATCCACCACGACTGTCTCGCCCCTTCCGCTTCCAGGAATATGCCAGTCATTCATTTTGTCTACCTGCGTGTAGCAAATAAAACACACTACACGGTCAGCAGTAAAGCTGAGTAAGCATATCTAAAGCGTCGAACATCCACATAAATTGAATCTCAATTCATAATCAACCATTTGATATCATGCACACAATATATGATTCAAACATTCATGATATTCTCAATATTTTATTCCAAGTCATTTGATATTCAATATTTCAACAACGCTCTTAAATTATTCTTAATCTAAGGCCACATCATTTTATAATCAGTTCTTAGCTATTCCTAGTCTAAGGCAATATTTCTAACCATGCCCTTAAACTATAAATAGTTTAATGCAGAACACAAGAATCGATAATCCACCCTATGAGTCATGTGGATTACATACCAAACCGAACAGTGATCTGTCGGGTGGGTGATATCCGGTCTGGATCCCGTACGTATGTTTTAACACCGAAATATAAATTGGTCAATGAGGTATATCTTAGAATTCTTCTAGATATCCTTAATAATCATCATCATTA